AAAACTCACAACCTGAAACCAACTCAAGGACAAGGCACACACCTACAATCAATTCTATATGAGTGCAATAATTTATTAGCAACTCTCCTAGGTTTTACTGGGGTCTGACCTAGAGACTACATGATCCACACATTGCAAAAAAAATTAAAAAACTCGCATTTTTTGTTGCACAAAAACCCGGGTTATTACACATACTCACCCCTATAAACATACGTACGCAAACACTACCCCTATGAGAACATTCGATTCATTTGTATTGTTGTCTTTTACTTGAACTAGATTGTATCCACAGCAGTACTATGGAATTCCATCAAATTTTCCTTATTGTTGAATCTTTGATACACTTCAAATCATACAATAAATCATATCTTCAAGTGTATGCAATCTAATTAAATCCCTGCTTAACACTTCACAAACTTGTTAGGGCTTTAATTATGTTGTCATTTTATCCACCAAAACCCACCAAAGGGCTACATGCACTTAAACAAGTACACCACTTTAGGAAGAATCCTTTCTTTTTTGAGGAGAGGGAGAATCATTTCATTCACAATGATTATTGCAGAAAGGACCATTTCACATTATCGTAAGCCTTCTCAAAGTCAAGTTTCAAAATAACATCATTCAACTTTTTCCTACGCAATTCATGTAAGGTCTCGTGAAGTATTAGCACACCCTCTATAATATTTCTACAGGACATGAAAAATGTTTGTGACGGCCTTATATAATACTTTCAACCACCGAACTTAACCTATTGCGACCTACCTTTGTAATATTTTTAAAAATAACATTGAGTAGGCAAATAGGACCATATTGATTTATGTTTTGAAACTCTTTTAGTAAAAAGGGTTTTTATACAAAAGTTTAAATTAAAAAAAGGCAACCCTTATGAAACTCTTCAAATAATGCCATAATATAAGGTCCTCTTGATGATTTCTCAAAAAAATCGATAGAATTCAAGTGGGAATCCATCTGGACATGACACTTTATTATGTTCCAACTTAGAAAACTCCTTTTACTCCTTATTATGCAATTACAATGAATGTATAATAATGAGTGATGTGAGACTTTAGAGCCTCATCCCTACAAGGGTTTGATCGCACTCTATATCAATTGGAAAAAAAAACTTGTTTTACGATGTTTTCCCCTTGTCAACCAAAAAATATCGAGATATTACATACAATCATCCTATAAAAGGTTGGTTTCTTTGGGATACCACCTAATTTCCTCTTCCTTAAGCAAATGCACATTTTTTCCTTTATAAGTGTACTGATATTTGCTGGACGCGCGACGAAAGCTCTCACGGCGGACGAATCACAAGAGACAGGCAAATCTGCCAATCCTGCCGTACATGCATATCCCGTCGCCAATAATGGGCATCGGGCAACAACGCCCGATCGACGCAACGCAACACACACGCTTTGCGTTGATCATCTCCGGCCGTGCCTGCCAACCGATGGCACGATCAACCAGCGTCAACCATGGGCCAACCGCGTCGCGTCGGCGCGTGCGTGCGTACGTGATGGATGATGGATCCGATCGCCGGTCTCGGCGCCGGGCGACGATGCCGACAATTGATTGTTATGGTCGCTACGACGTGCCCATGCAGCCGAGCCATGCTCGCTTGCTAGAGAGGCCTTTGCAGTTCCGACGTGCGGTTGCCCCGGCGCGGCCCTCCGATCCGGTCCGCCGATTCCAAAAGCAAGCAGTAGTAGGTCTATAGGTGCGCAGCCACCTTCTGGCCCGCCTTCGTGATTGAAAGACGCGGTAACTAACTAACAAGGGCGCTGATGAGACATTCATTAATCGCACCACATCAATAGACAGGTACGATCGGTGGATCCATGGTCTCTCGTGCGTCCCTTTCGCGTCATCGATCGCGTTCTCCAAGCAGTGTGATTACTTGCACTGCATGCATTAGTTTTTTTTTTTAGCAAATTCGGCAGGTGCTCTCTGCCAATTCATTATAGACATTAGTTATCATTTTTAGTGAAGGACGACTGGTCTGGATTCTGGAATTTCAGCTAGTACTACAGGTAGCACACGACAGATTCGCTAGCGTGAATATATGCTACTACTACAGCACACACGCATCTTTAAATGTGTTTTTCAGCTGTATATAGGTCGCAGATCAAATTTATTTGTCATCACCCATAACAAAAGGAAGATGTTGTTATTGTAGATAGATATACTAGATAGATAGACTACATAAAACGGGGAAAGGGAAAAGAGTCGATGTGGTGTCGTCCGGCCGTCCGGCCTGCCGAAAGTATGCACAGCAAATGATTAGTTGGGTCAGGAGTAATTACCACCTTGATTGCAGTGTAGCTCAGCTTTGATCGCAACTAATGATCATTTAGAAGTTTGAAAGATGCCTGTAGTAGTGGTGGCACTGCCACATCAAATAAAACGCATGCATGCATATGCTTCGATGCCACGCAAACGCAGGGAGGAAATAGTGTCGATCCAGCCATTGCCTCATTGGTGGGGGCCTGAAGAATGATGATCGCGCTAGCGGCTAGCTTCTCTTTTCTTCCTCCATCCCGTTTCCTCTTTGAATTGGTTGGTAAATCATTGCATGCTGCCGCCATTTCGCTGGATCCGGCCGGCCAACTGTAGGCTTCCAGTATCATCAGAAGACGATTATGAAATCTGCAGAGAATAATATGAGGTAGCCAGGTAGGGTACTGAATACTGATGGGCGTGTGGGTGCCTGGCGACGCCTTGCAAAGGACCGGCTCTGCAAATTGCTAAAGTTCTTTTTAATAAAAAGAATGGAAATGCTTACACCCGGCCGTGCGCTCGATTGGACGCCGCCATTCGCGGGCCGCGACACCAGCCCAATGACCCAACATCGTATCCTCTTGTCCACTCGTACATCATGTCCAGAAGCCTCTCGCCCAGTCGTCCTCTCTAGAAGGTTCTCCACCGCAGCGCCGCGATAGCACTCCGCCACTTCGGCGTTCTTCACGGCGTTCGGCCGCCGGTCACCGGCTGGCATCTCCACCACTCCTCAGCGCGGCTGCCCGTCTTCCTCCCTCTCCATGGCGCCTCCTCCCCGCCGCGGCCTTCTCCAGTGCATGGTCCGTCTTCTCCACCGGAGCGACCTGCCGCGGCCTTCTGCACCGAACCTGTCGCGACCTTCTCCAACGGAGTGGCGAGCTCTACACCGGTGAACTCCACACACCAACAAGCTTCCATTCCCACGCAACAAGGAGATGTTGTACTGAAAGCGCATGTTGCAAATATAAGTTTTAGATGTTTCAGAGGTATGTTGCAACTAGTTCGTATCGGTGTTGAAAAAGTAGATCGGGATGTTGCAAAAGTAGATAGGGGATGTTGCACATATTGCAATGGCTATACACGTATGTTTCAAATGTATGTTCTAAATATTTCATATGTATTAGACGTATGTTACAAGTATTTTCATCTGAATGTTACAAAAGTATATTTGGATGTTACATATACATGTGTGTTGCAAGCGTATTTTTCAAGTGGTTTCAGGTGTTTCATACGTCTGTTGCAAGTGTTTAACCTGGATGTTCCATATATTTGCAATGGTTTCAAGTGTTTTTTTAGGTGTGTTTTTTTTTTGCAAGTGGTTCAGATGCATGTTTCAAAATGTTTTATCTGTCTTCTTTGTGTGTTGCAACTGTTACATCTGGATGTTTCAAAAGTAAATCGGGGTTACACGTGGGATGTGGCTGGTGGCACGAGAGATGTTTGGGGTGACGCATGCGACGTCCCGGGGCGGTGCGGGCCTGCTGCTAGGGCGCTCGTCCGCAAACCCGACGCGCTAGGGTGGTCGCTCGCTCGCTGAGCCGCCTGAGCGGGTGTAGTCCGACGCTAGCACCGACGTGGTAGGCGCTAGCAAGTCCGTAAAAAGCACAGCACAAGAACATAAGAAGGGAATTTACGATTTACCGGCTGAAAGAAACCAAATTAATGGCTCCCTACCCTGTCCCTCCAATCACAATTCAGCAATCAGCATACACCCAACCACCGGCAATTTATCCTGTTGCTCGACCGACCGGAAAAACTGACTTGGCCTGTCTTTTCAATACCATAGCACAGCAACAGCACGAGGCAGCTAGCCTGCATCCTTTCACTAAAATTCACTTCAACGATCACTACAGCTACTAGCTATTCAATTCCGCTGATTGGAATATCCAGGGGAGGGGGGAAATAAACAAAAAATGAAATTATGCATTGATGAAAAACAAATGCTTAGTACGTGTCTGCCGATCAATGCAGCGCACAGCAGGCGATAAGAATTGAGATAGACAGATAATTCAAGCAGAGAGTTTTTTTTCTAAAAGCAAGCAGAGAGTATCAATGGAGCCTTAAGTTGATGGACCATAGCTTTCCTCTTCGTGAGCAATTACTTGAAACAGCAGGCGATAAGAATTGAGATAGACAGATAATTCAAGCAGAGAGTTTTTTTCTAAAAGCAAGCAGAGAGTATCAATGGAGCCTTAAGTTGATGGACCATAGCTTTCCTCTTCGTGAGCAATTACTTGAAAAAAAAATATTGTGCACTATGCATTCTTGATTTGTATTCGTCGGGGATCACGGGACGGGGATGGTTCTCTCGTTCTCTGGTCTCCGTCCCCGTTCCGCTAACCCGTCCCGCTACGCGTCATAAAGGCGACTGGACGCAGGGTGATTCAAGCGAAGGCCCGTCTAAGGCCCATCTGCAACCGGCCCTAAAAAGTCTTCACTTCCCAACCCTACACGCACGAGCCGCCGCCGCCGCTAGCTTCACCACTGCGGACTGCGCCGGCTGCCAGCCGACCACTCCGTTTCTCTTCCTGGGACATTGTTGCGTCGAAGGCGAGCGCCAGGGCGAGGGCCTCAGTAGCGCCGGCGGACTCCGCTCGCACGCCATACTCGTTTCGCCGCACGGCGTCTAGTCTGCTGCCTGCAGCGTACTCCATCTTGCCGGGTCTAGCAGCCACCCTCTTCTCCGCTCCACTCCCAAACGCCGCTGCCTCCACTTCACCATGGCGCTTCACGCCCCGGTCCTCGTGCTGAGTAAGCGGCCCCTATCCGCCCCCTTCTGGCTTGCGCGCCGTCGTTTTATCGCCCGTGATCTGCTGATCCCGTCTTTGGCACCCACGATTTGCTTTCTTTTGATTTTTAGGGCTCAATCCTGTCTGATCCGTTCTTTGTTGTTTGGTCTGAGCAGAGGACTCGCTGAAGCGGGAGACTGGCGCGAAGGTTCACCAAGCCAACATCCATACTGCCAAGGTACGGATTCTCAAGCTGCTCCGCTCGTTCGCTTTAGTGGTTCCTTGGCCTCTAAGAATGCAGCAGAATTTAGTTCGATTATTTCAGTGGTACAGCGGAAGAGTACATTATGTAGTTGAACCATTGGTCTGTTCGTGTTGTGTAAATTATTTTTGATGAAAGCTGCAGTTAGCCATTTGACTGTACTGTACTTAACTGTTCAATAATATTCCATGTTCATTTTTTTCCACAGGCTGTTGCTGACATCATACGCACCACATTAGGTCCCAGATCCATGCTGAAAATGCTTCTGGATGCTGGTGGAGGTATGCCAAAGGCTTTGCTTGTAGTCTATGCGTTGCATTGTTGGACAAAAGTTAATACAAACCATTTTGTGTTGAATAACTTTGGTGGCTGGTAACAAACTATGAATTTTGCATACTTGATTGTGTGGTGTGTTAGGCTTATCAACTCATCTTGTTATGCTTGGTTGCCATATGGAGTTGGACATGTGCAAATATCCTTTGTGTCATAGCTAAGATTAAACTGCTCTGCAATGTGAATTGCTAATAAAGGTGTTGCCTCTATGATGCTTGATATTGCCAATGTTTCAGTTTACAGTTCTTCTATTAAAATATTTTTGACTACATATGCTTAATGATGATAGTATCCGCTGTACGAACTTTCCTAGATTCCTTTCACTAAATACTTCTGGTTTACTGAGAATAGTGATGTAAGATGAATATACATTATTTGTGGGCTAATGCATATTTGACTGCGAATGATTTACAGAGTAACACCAGGATGTATATCCCTATACCAATCCTTGTATGGCAGTGACTATTTAGAAATTAAGCGTATCAATACTATGGTGTAATATTTATTTCCCCCCTTTTCAGTTGCCACTGAACACTGATCTCCTTTTATGTGAGAATTAACGTCAATTGCACTATCGGTTATTGCATCACAATTGTGTATCTATTGCCTCTTTTGAGTCTACAGTGTTTTATTTTGATTTGGCTACTTTTTTTCAGGTATTGTGGTTACTAATGATGGTAATGCTATTTTGAGGGAAATAGACATCGCACACCCTGCTGCCAAGGTATGCCAAATTATGTTGGTTGCTCAGCCGTGAAAGCCTGCTAATGAAATTATCAGTCAACCATCACATTTTTTTTCCTGTACGATGGATGAATTTGTGTTGCGAGACCCATATATATACCTAATTGTATTTGTGTGCTAATGTGCAGTCTATGATTCATGTTGCGAGTCCCATGTACCTAATTGTGGTTGTGTGTTAATGTGCAGTCTATGATTGAACTAAGTCGTACACAGGATGAAGAAGTTGGTGATGGCACTACATCTGTCATTGTTCTAGGTATGCATAATTTTTGTGACATTTGTTTTGGGGAAGTTGATGGCTATGACGAACAACAACATTGCATTTTATTTTCATCAAACTAAAGCAGTGCTATTTATAGTATCATCTAATTATGGTGCAACTGTTGAATCTGTTTCTAGTCGAGCTTAGCGGTTGGCTGTAACTATCTGCCACAACTAGTATTTCTCATAAGCATGTTAATAACAAACGGCTTGCTGTGCAAATTGATGCCTATTAATAAAATTCTAGATAATCTCTACCATGGTTTTTGAGGTGTCGCATAGGCGTCCAGGCACCCAGGTGCTGGGTGTCACAGGATGCCACAAGTATTTTTTTTTCCTGTCTCAAGGCCAGCCCCATTTCCATTAATCGTCTAATGTAATACAGATGTTTGTGACCAAACCAGTATAAGTGAGAGGGGTAACAGACCATGAGACTATCAACCTTAGTAAAATGACAGTCTGTTTCAGTCTATCATTCTAGCAAGATGGATACAAGACATAAATGACTAGTTTCAACCCTATTGATGCCACAAGCTTTTAGTTACGCCATATGGCTTAGGCGTCACCTAGAAGGTGCGTAGGCATAAAGGCATAGCCCCAGTGCCACAGGATGCCAAAACACCTAAAAAACCATGACCTCTATATCACGTGTGATACATTGATTCTAGTTTAGTGGTTGTACATTCTTAAGGATTTCCATAAGATCAGATATTTCCTTTACAACACCAACTTAGACAAACATATCTTACTTTATTTTTATCCTCTTATTAGTTCACAATACACCTTTTCATTTCTTTTCTAGCTGGAGAGATGCTACACGTTGCACAGGCATTCATTGACAAGAACTACCATCCAACTGTTATTTTCCGAGGTAGATTCCTTTGTTCTCAGTACTGCAGTTTACTAGGGTAATACCTGCTTTTTTTTCTTGATCTCTTGTCTTCTGAAACTTGTATTTTTCTCATCTTCAGCATACACCAAAGCGCTTGATGATGCTATTGCTGTACTTGACAAAATTGCAATGCCTGTCGATGTGAATGATCGTAAGTTACAGTGAACATATATTTTGCACTGGATCCTGGCACTTCATCAATGGCACATTTGTGCTTAAAGGAATTAGCTCTTTCCTCTTGCATACACCATGTGTTAAAAATTTAGACTGATGGCACCGAATATACAATTAATGCAGGTGGGGCAATGCTAGGCCTTGTGAAGAGCTCCATTGGTACAAAATTCACTGGCCAGTTTGGTGACCTTATTGCTGTAAGCATCTTTCTTCCATGTGGAACTTCAACAATTCCCTCCAAATTATATATAGTTCACTTTGGCTTTGTCCTAATTCAAACTTCTTTTACTTTGACCAAGTTTGCAAAAAAGAAAAAATAAACAGCCCAACATCTACAACATGAAATTAGTACCACCCTCTGTCCCAAATTATAGGTTGTTTTGGCTTTTCTAGATACATAGCTTTTGCTATGCACCTAGATACCGTAACAAAAGTTGTGTATCTAGAAAAGCCAAAACGGCCTATAAATTGGAACCGAGGGAGCACATCATTAGATTCTCCATGAAATATGTTTTGATAGTGCATTTATTTGAACTTGTGGATGGCAATATATTTTTCTAAAAACTTGTTCAAAGTTAGAGAAGTTTGACTTAGGACAATGCCAGAAAGATTAAATAATTTTGAGGGAGGGGCCGGGGGGGGGCTGGGGTACTACTACCTATCCAACCTTGGATTTTACTTATTTGATAACTCATGTTACTGTATTCAGGACCTTGCTATCGATGCTACGACAACTGCAGGCGTTGACCTTGGTCAGGGTATGCGTGAAGTTGATATCAAGAAATACATTAAAGTTGAAAAGCTTCCTGGTGGTCAGTTGGAGGATTCTAGAGTCCTTAAAGGAGTTATGATCAATAAGGATGTTGTGGCTCCTGGAAAAATGAGGAGAAAGATAGTTAACCCCCGTATCATCCTGTTGGACTGCCCTGTTGAGTATAAGAAAGGAGAAAATCAGACCAACGCTGAGTTGATGAAGGAAGAAGATTGGTAAGACATGTCCATGTACCACAATGATCTTACTGAAATGCAATGCATGCATAGTTTTGAAGTAATTTGGTAGAATTCTAAGGTATATTATGTGGCAAACTTTATTGCAGGCAGGTTCTGCTAGAGATGGAGGAAGAATACATAAAGAGCCTGTGCGCTCAAATTCTAAAATTCAAGCCTGATTTAGTAATCACAGAGAAAGGGCTCAGTGATCTCGCTATCCATTATTTGAGCAAGACTGGTGTTAGTGCAATCCGTAGACTTAGGAAAACTGACAACAACAGGATTGCTAAAGCTTGTGGAGCAGTCATAGTGAACAGGCCTGAGGAGCTCCAAGAATCTGATGTGGGAACAGGAGCTGGCCTGTTTGAGGTCAAGAAGATAGGCGATGAATTCTTTGCCTTTATTGTTGACTGTAAAGATCCCAAGGCATGTACTGTTCTGTTGAGGGGAGCAAGTAAGGATGTATTGAATGAAGTTGAGAGAAACCTGCAGGTATTTCTTCCTCCCCATTTCCATGTATCTGTACTCCTTGCAAAAATAATTCTAGAAACCTTTCTTTTATTAGTTGGCAGGCACAGTATGATCTCAGCCAGCCATTCCTTGCAAATCCGTATTCGAGCATTTTATTTCATTGATGGCCGGTAGAATCCTTTTGGCCATCTAAGCAACATGCATGTCAGATTAGCATTGGATCTTTGGTCCCCCTGTTTTAATTTCCCTTATTAACTCTTTAACTGTAACTACATATACAAATATGCTAATTTTATTAGGAACCCGACTACCTGTAATGAACACTCATTTCCCTCAAAGCATGTCCAAGTTTAGGCTAATATGACGTTCCGTGTCATTTTCAATGCAGGATGCCATGTCCGTTGCAAGAAACATTTTGAAAAATCCAAAACTCCTTCCTGGAGGTGGTGCTACAGAGCTGACTGTGTCAGCAACACTGAAGCAAAAGAGTTCTTCAGTTGAAGGCGTGGAAAAGGTATTGTTCTGTTACTGTTGATTACCTGTATTGGATATTAACAGTCGTTTAAGCTATATTTATGTGGATGCTTAGTGCAACAGTGCTTAATTCTGTAAGCTTGTGACCACATGCTTTGTAAATGTGATGTTATTGTGCTGAGTGGATTATTGCACCATTATTTGTTGTGCAATTCCTGATTGATTTTATTTTTTGTTTATGTCAGTGGCCCTATGAAGCTGCTGCTCTAGCATTTGAGGCAATTCCAAGGACTTTGGCCCAAAATTGCGGTTTGAATGTTATTAGGATAATGACACAACTTCAGGGAAAGGTAATAATCCCAAAACTCTTGCCAGCCCCCGAGTGAGGCCTGACCCCTTGCCGTTGCTGGGGCCGTGGCTCGATAGCAAAATTGATAAGAGAAAACGTGCGCAAATTAATGGCAACCTGCTGGCGCAGGACCTACCTTGATGGCATGAGTGATAGGTTTGGGGAGCTCTTACCGGACATGTTTGAGTGGAATCCAGGTCCGTTGTTCATGACAGGGTCGGCATAACCCACGTGGGGCATCCTGTTGCCCCCTACCCATCTCTCGGCAGCGGCCAAGCCGTCCGATAGACTTATGTTACCCACTAGAATAGGACTTACCTACGGAGATAGGGGATGAGAACATCTCGCCCAAAAATTTAGTTAGGCAGATAAGCCATGCGGTGAACTTGTAATAAGTGGACAAGCTCTTAAATTTTGTTATGGCCTAACAGATTTTTAGCCCTTCTCCCCTTTTTGTATAAAAAGGTTAGTGCGTTCTGCCCTTTCCATCATTGAGGCCGTAAAGCTCGGGGTTTGGGCGAATAAACTCTGATCTCACTGGTGAGCAAAGATGCCATAGCCGCTGGGGCGTAGGTTTCTCGAAGTCCGACCAGTTTTTGCTCAAAGTTTGTTTCCGCTAGCCTACCTTCTAGGTCTCGTCATGAGAGAGGGTCGGGAACGAAGAATGCTTACCAGGTGGATAGACTATTAAATGCATACCTACTCTTTCTATAGCTAAGGCCAAAAAGCCCGGGGTGCAGAAGAAAACTCTGATCACGCTGGTGAGCAAAGATGCCGTAGCCGCCAAGGCGTAGATTTCTCACAGTCCGACCAGTTTTACTCAACGTTTGTTTCTACAAACTTCACTTCTGGGTCTTAACGTGAGAAAGGGTCGGGCGTAGAGAAATTTCTACTGAATAGGTACACTCTTATTAGCCCCCAAGTGAAGCCCGACCCCTTGTCATTGCTGGGGTCAGGTGTCACAAAAGATCGGGGAGGCAATAGCAAAACTGATAAGAGAAAGTGTGTGTTTATTAAGGGTAAAAGCGACGTAGCTGTTCGATGTTCCAAGCATTGATGAAGACTTCATCATCGATGGTCTTGAGCTTGTATGCACCCTGTTGGAGCACCTCTACAATGACGTATGGTCCCTCCCATAGCGGAGAGAACTTATGGTGGTTCCTGTTGCTCTAGATGAGGTGGAGCACCAGGTCCCCAACATTTAAGGCCCGACCCCGCACTCGACGGCTGTGGTACCAGTGCAATCCTTGCAAAATAGCCTCTGAATGGATAGTTTGAACTTATTATGGTGCTTGGCTACTAACCATCGAGGCATCTTGCCTAAACTAACTTCTCCTTTGTTGGGCCAGTTCTTATCTCTAAGTAGTTGATGTCTCTTCTCACTTGGCCCTTGTGCAGTGCCTGCCATTTTATGTCACATGATGATAGTTTTTCGTATCTGTGTACTGTTAATTGGTGAAGATTTTGACACAGATAATTTAGTATCTAAATCAAACTAATGTCTTGGAAGTAAACAATAGGTCATATAGAGGAGAGGCTAAGAGGATTGTTGAATTTCAACCACAGGCGGTTTTATGTCATCGGTTTCAAGCAGTGTCAGAATTATTAGTATTTCGCCTTTCCTGATTTAGTAATCACATAAAGAACCTGTGCGCTCAAATTCTAAAATTCAAGCCTGATTTAGTAATCACAGAGAAAGGGCTCAGTGATCTCGCTATCCATTATTTGAGCAAGGCTGGTGTTAGTGCAATCCGTAGACTTAGGAAAACTGACAACAACAGGATTGCTAAAGCTTGTGGAGCAGTCATAGTGAACAGGCCTGAGGAGCTCCAAGAATCTGATGTGGGAACAGGAGCTGGCCTGTTTGAGGTCAAGAAGATAGGCGATGAATTCTTTGCCTTTATTGTTGACTGTAAAGATCCCAAGGCATGTACTGTTCTGTTGAGTGGAGCAAGCAAGGATGTATTGAATGAAGTTGAGAGAAACCTGCAGGTATTTCTTCCTCCCCATTTCCATGTATCTGTACTCCTTGCAAAAATAATTCTAGAAACCTTTCTTTTATTAGTTGGCAGGCACAGTATGATCTCAGCCAGCCATTCGTTGCAAATCCGTATTCGAGCATTTTATTTCATTGATGGCCGGTAGAATCCTTTTGGCCATCTAAGCAACATGCATGTCAGATTAGCATTGGATCTTTGGTCCCCCTGTTTTAATTTCCCTTATTAACTCTTTAACTGTAACTACATATACAAATATGCTAATTTTATTAGGAACCCGACTACCTGTAATGAACACTCATTTCCCTCAAAGCATGTCCAAGTTTAGGCTAATATGACGTTCCGTGTCATTTTCAATGCAGGATGCCATGTCCGTTGCAAGAAACATTTTGAAAAATCCAAAACTCCTTCCTGGAGGTGGTGCTACAGAGCTGACTGTGTCAGCAACACTGAAGCAAAAGAGTTCTTCAGTTGAAGGCGTGGAAAAGGTATTGTTCTGTTACTGTTGATTACCTGTATTGGATATTAACAGTCGTTTAAGCTATATTTATGTGGATGCTTAGTGCAACAGTGCTTAATTCTGTAAGCTTGTGACCACATGCTTTGTAAATGTGATGTTATTGTGCTGAGTGGATTATTGCACCATTATTTGTTGTGCAATTCCTGATTGATTTTATTTTTTGTTTATGTCAGTGGCCCTATGAAGCTGCTGCTCTAGCATTTGAGGCAATTCCAAGGACTTTGGCCCAAAATTGCGGTTTGAATGTTATTAGGATAATGACACAACTTCAGGGAAAGGTAATAATCCCAAAACTCTTTATGTTTCTGTGAATTTGTCCCTCTATGGAAGTGGTCTTCTATCAGAAGCATCATAAACTTGCCATTCAGGGAAGGTTGGGAATTTGGATAAGAGGGTGTTGTGGATTCTCCTAGCGCAGAAATTCAATTAAAACTGCACCTTGAAAATGCTTGAGAACTTATTGAAGCATCTACATACATGCGAATTTATCTTGAACACTATTTTGGAAGTACTGCACTGGGGCCCTATTTAGCAGGGGAGGAGCCAGAAATTATTCATGAAGGGGGGGGGGGGGCAAGTGGTAACTATTGAAGGTGCAAAGTAAAAAAATTTCAACAAATTACCTGTGGATATGGCCGATTGTGACATAATTCCATGTGATTTAGTTTGTTATCCTACGTTCCTAAAATTACTCTTTTTATACCTTTCAGATTTAACTACCAGCAAACTGCCTTAAAATCTGAGTTAGGAGAACATAGGCCTATAATGGATTTGAGATGTTTGTTATGATTGATTACTAGAAGAAATAGCTACTTTACGCCAATCACATGTATGTTCTTTTTCCTTGCGTCAGCATGCTAATGGTGAAAATGCGTGGGTTGGCATTGATGGAAGGAGTGGTGATATTGTTGACATGAAAGAGCGAAAGGTATTTCACTTTATCTGCACAAATGCAAGTTTGACCAATGTTTGTTTGCATGTCTAACCACAATGTTGTCCATTTTAGATCTGGGATTCATACAGCGTTAAAGCGCAGACGTTCAAGACAGCAATCGAGGCTGCTTGCATGCTTTTGAGAATCGATGACATTGTCAGCGGTATCAAGAAGAAGCAGGCTCCTGGAGCCTCAGCTCCAAAACAACCCCAAATTGAAACTGAGGGCGATGCTGACAATGAGCAGATGATCCCAGAGTAGAGGCTGTGACGAACCTGCACTGGCAAAGTTACTAGTGCCAGAATAGCCCTTTGGGCAGAGTTCATTTTGTTTGAGTGTTGGTGGTTAGCCTTAGCTTAAAGATGTACCTGGTTTTATATAGTTTTGAGTGGTACGAGGGTTTTGGGATCCAGGTTTTGAAGTGTGGTTGCTGCTCATTTTGCTTTTATAAAGCATCTATGCCCCTAGTTTTTTTTTGTTGATTAATGACGACATAAGATTACTATGACTAATGTGTGTTTTGCAGAAGCAATTTGAGTTAGGTCATGGTAATGAAATTGATTTGGCAATCATGGTTGTCATATGAAAATCGTTTTGGTTTTCAAAGGAAGGACGACAAGGTTAAAGACGGACTAGTTCTAAGTGTCGTTTGGCGTTAAAGAGACTTAGAGTTGTCTGACTTTGTTTTTCTCTTGGTCGTATTATTAAGGGGGTATGGACTAGTAGCTTGATCTATGTGAGTCTAATGGAGTAGGTGTGGTGCACACATGTCAAATTTAGTACTATGTAGCTTAGGAATAGCCCTAAAATCGATAGAAGTCAACTTCATTCTCTAAGGATTTCGAATTAGAAGTGAATGGAGGGTCAAATGACTGATCGGACGTTGGTTTGATCGGACGCAGCGTGAAGAGTCCGGTCAGTTCATTTGATCAGTAGCTACAGTCATGTATTGACTGGATGCTAAACAGTACATGATCGGGCGCTGTGGTGTCTGCGTTCGATCAACATCAGAGAGCATCTATAGGGGCATTTTGCTGACCAGACGTGTCCGCGATGGGTGATGACCGGACATATGTCAGAATCCGGTCAGAGCTAACGGCTCTATCTGACACAATGACGTGTATTATTGATCGGAGCGTTCGGTCAGCCTGACCGGCGTGTTCGGATCACCGCGAAACTGGCTGAGTTGCTCAACCGTTATGTTTTTAATGAGGGGGTATAAATACTTATCCCACTCGTTCATGGGAATTATTTTGTCCAATTGTTCAGCTGTGAAACGCCTTTGGAGTGCAAGAGAGAGCTAAGAGGCTAGTGTGGTGATTGAGAGTTGTTAATCCAAGATTAAGGATTTCTCTAGTGCATAGAGAGTAGCAAGTGTGTATCCATCTTTTTCATTAGGCTTGTCTTGGTCAAGTGAGAGTTTGTGCTTGTTACTCTTGGTGATCGCCATCTCCTAGACGGCTCGGCGGTGGTTGGGAGCTTGGTGATCATCCAACGGAGCTTATGGATGACCCAAGTCATATTGTGAGCGGTCATGGGCGATTCACCTTTACGAAGTGTCAAAAATCAGCCCGTAGAGAGCACTTATCTTTTCGTGGATCTAGGGGGAGCTACACCCTTGCGCGTGTGCTCCAACGAGGACTAGTGCGGAGTGGCGACTCTTCGATACCTCGGAAAAACATCGCCGCGTTATTTTCCCTCTCTTTATTTTGAGTATTTATATTTGAGCAATTTATTTCATGTCTTTATATTCTTAGAATTATCATGCTAGAGTGGGATTGGAACCTATGATGTAAAACTTTTGTACGGCAGAACAATAGAAAAACATTCTAAATACATGAAATAAACTAAATGTAGGACTTAATTATTAAAATAAAATAAAATTTCAAATCCTTTCGGTACTGATGGACAACAAGCAGTGAAACTAGTCTCCAGTTGTACGCCACAAATCTACTTTGTACTTGATAATGCTGTCGTTTCCCATGATCCGAACTGAGTCTTGTTGCTGTCCTTTCTCATCACCCGAACTTCGGGTGACCGGATAGACGGCATTTGATGACTCAATTATTGTTAAGCGCTTTGGGTGACTGGATAAGTGGATAGACGGCACTTGATGACTCATTATTATTATTATTAGGCGAGGTGGTGCTATAAGTGATACGCAAAACTTACGACTCGGTCAATTACAAGGTTTTTTTCCGAACGGTATAAAAGATATTTATTATCTCTTTATTTCAAATTATATGATGTTTTGGTTTTCCTAGATAAGGAAATTTCCTTTCTACTCTCAGGTATGTTTCCTTTCTCAACACGGATTTGCACTTTGCAATTGCGATTTACTCTCTTCATTTTATAATATAGTGCAATTCTAAAAAATTTAAGACAACTCTAAGGAAACACTCAAATAACGACATGTACCATGAATTAGATCCAATTAAGGAGTTTCTCCTCGTATTATGGTTTCCTTTTTAACAAATTCTATCAATCTAAGCATAGTTGTTACATAGAACGCATTATATTTCATCATAAATTTTAGAAGTCACGACGCACTATATTTTAGGACGGATGGAAGAGCAAGTCGGCATTGCTGCTGCCCTAAAACAAAAAAGGTCGGTGCCAATCCCAGCTGCCCTAATAAAATAGAAACGGGTGCTCGCGCCCAGACGCCAGTGCCTACAGACCGTTTCACGCGCCCACACGGGGCCCACGCCGCTCCGAACGTCACCAGCATCGAGAAGAGGGGGAGAGGCGGCGGATGCCCTAGCCGACGTTGTGAGGACGAGACACCGAGACGAGGCAGCAGAAAGCAACAAGAGAGATGCAACACCCGAGCTACTTTTAAAACATTCAGATGCAACAACTTATAACATATGTCTGAAGGCAAATGAAACACCTGAAATATGCATCTGAAACACTTGCAAAAACACCTGAAAACACTCAAAAACTATTGTAAAACATATGCAACATCCAGATAAAACACTTGCAACATATATATGAAACATATGCATCATTCAAATAAACACACTTGCAACATACATCTGGAAAAACATATGAAACATTGGGAACAGAAATTTACAACATACGTGTACAACCATTGCAACATATGCAACATCCTGATCTACTTTTGCAACATCCGCATGAAACATTTGCAAAATACCTCTGAAATATCTGAAACACTTGAAATATACGCTTGCAATATGCATTTATCACCCTTCTTCCGTACAATGCAGCACGAAGCGGGGTATGGGCAGGCGGAGGGCAACGCTCGTCGTGGCCCCTTCAAGAGGCGAGCGGAGGAGGCGGTGGGGACAGGCCGCCGAGCTTTGGGCGTGCTGCGGGCTGCCACAGTTGCAGGCAGGCAAGAAGGGAGGCGGGGATAGGCCAACAATTGGGAGCAGACCACCAACGAGCTCTGGTCGGGCGAGGGCCGGGAGGAAGCGACTGGCCGCAGGCACAGACGGCTACCGAGCGAGCTCTGGCCAGGCAGGGGCAGGAAGAAGGGGCCGGCTATGAAACATTTGCAACATACCTCTGAAACATCTGAAACACTTGAAATATACGCTTGCAACATGCATTTATCACCCTTCTTTCGTACGACGCAGCGCGGAGCGGGGTATGGGAAGGCGGAGGGCAGCGCGGCCGTGGCCCCTTCAAGAGGCGAGCGGAGGAGGCGGTGGGGACAGGCCGCCGACGAGCTTTGGGCGTGTTGCGGGCTACCACAGTCGCAGGCAGGCAAAAAGGGAGGCGAGGATAGGCCAGTAATGGGCGCAGACCACCAGCGAGCTCTGGTCGGGTGAAAGGTCCTAATGGCTAGAGGAGGACTGAATAGCCTATTAAAAATTTATACAACAACACTTAACAAACCGGTTAGAGAATTATGAGGCGAAGCAAGTGTCACACTAGCCTACCAAAATTACAAGCCACCTACCACAATTCTAGTTTATATTGTTTCTATCCACATAATAGATATGTCACTATACTAAGTTAGTGCGCTCTCAAATACTAACTAAAGAGCCACACTAACGAAATTAACAAGCTCTCACAACTAGCTACACTAAAGAGCTTGACAACTAGTTTGTGGTAATATAAAGAGAGTGAGCAAGATGGTTATACCGCTGTGTCGAGGAAGTAATCAATCAATCAATCACAAGAATGAATACCAATGAAAACAATCACCTCGGAATCAAATGATGACAATGATTTTTTACCGATGTTCACTTGCTTGTCGGCAAGCTAGTCCTCGTTGTGGCGATTCACTCACTTGGAGGTTCACGCACTAATTGACATCACACGACAAACCCTCAATAGGGTGCCGCACAACCAACACAAGATGAGGATCACACAAGCCACGAGCAATTCACTAGAGTACCTTTTGACTCTCCGTCAGGAAAAGGTCAAGAACCCCTCACAATCACTATGATCGGAGCCGAAGACAATCACCGCCCTCCGCTCGACGATCATCGCTGCTCCAAGCCGTCTAAGTGGCGGCAACCACCAAGAGTAACAAGTAAATCCCACAGCGAAACACGAACACCAAGTGTCTCTAGATGCAAACACTCAAGCAATGCACTTGGATTCACTCCCAATCTCACAAAGACGTTGAATCTATGATGGAGATGAGTAGGAGGGCTTTGGCTAAGCTCACAAGGTTGCTATGTCAATGCAAATGGCCAAGAGAGTGAGCTTGAGCCGGCCATGAGGCTTAAATAGAAGCCCCTACGAAATAGAGTCGTTGTACCCCTTCGCTGGGCACAACTTGGGGTGACCGGACGCTCCGGTCAGATCGACCGGACGTAGGACCCCAGCGTCCGGTCGCTCGATGCTTGCCACGTATCATCGGCTTCAAACACTGATCGCCCGATCTCAACGGTCATCAGTACATTTAAGTAGTGATCGGACGCACCAACACCAGCGTCCGGTCGTTTCCAGTAAGGTACCAGAAGCGAAAAATCATGATCGGACGCGTCCGGTCATGCCCGACCGGACACACCCAACGTTTGGTCACTCAACGTCATCATACGTCATACTGATCGGACTCAGGCCCTGAGCGTCCGGTCATTTTTCGCGCCAGCGTTCGGTCATGAGACCGAAACCGCGCGCTCGCTGCTGCCACTGACCGGACGCGCCGGTCCTTCAGAGACCAGCGTCTGGTCACTTACAGTGACCACGTTCACCAGGGTTTAGCCACCGGACACGTCCGTTACACTCTGTGAAACCCTGTCTTTTCTGTACAGGACGCCGGTGGCACCGTCGGACTGTCCGCACTCTATGGGCGGATACTCCGCCGGTGAAGTTTCTAACCCTTGCTCAAATGTGTCAATCACCAAGTGTATCACCTTGTGCACATGTGTATTAGCATATTTTCACAAAACATTTTCAAGGGTGTTAGCACTCCACTGGATCCTAAATGCATATGTAATGAGTTAAAGCATCTAGTGACACTTTGATAACCGTATTTTGATACGAGTTTCACCCCTATTAATAATACGGCTATCGAACATAAATGTGATCACACTCGCTAAGTGTCTTGATCATCGAAACAAAATGACTCCTACCATTTATACCTTTGCCTTGAGTCTTTTGTTTCTTTTTCTCCTTTTCTAAGTCCAAGCAATTGATCAACACCATTGCATCACCATCATCATGTCATGATCTTCATTTGCTTCACCACTTGGAATGTGATACCTATCTCATAATCACTTTGATAAACTAGGTTAACACTTAGGGTTTCATCAATTCACCAAACCCAAACTAGAGCTTTCATTGGACGAGGGCCCAGAGGAAGCGGCCGACCGCAGGAACAGATGGCCGCCGGCGAGCTCTGGCCGGACGGGGGCGGGAAGAAGGAGCCGGCTGGGAGCTCTGCCGAGCGGGGGATGGGATTAAGGGGCCAGCAGCAAGCGCTGACCGATGGAGGCGCCGCGGGGAGTGGGACAAGCGGACGGACACATGTGAGAGTTTTTTTTTTAAGAGAGCGCGGGCGTCCAGATGGGGCGGACATGCATGGCCAAGCATTATCAAAACAGAAAAGATCAGTGCCAAACCCGGGATCCCCCGTGCATGTGCGCATCCTCTGTGTCCATCATTCCAACTGAAGTGGAGTGGAGAATGCTGTGTTGTCCATCTTAAGTGGAGAATACCCAGCAAACAGATACCTGAAGTTAAATTGCTTGCGTAATTTTACCTTAGCTTACAAACATTTCATTGCATCGGCGTTACAAGTTTATTCTTGTACAGTGAACAAAGATTTTTAATGATTAACATTTCATGGAACACAGGTTTTTCAACCAGAACCAGAAAACAAGCAAACATAGAACCACAAATAAAAGCATTGCAGAGTTTTTTTTTTATATAAATAGATAGTAACAACAGAAATAGGTGCTAGAAGGACAGAGGACATGAAATCAGAAGAAACTATACAGGGCCCACGAGGGCAGGTGGCATATATGATGTGTCACAGGGGTACGAACTGCGCTGACATTTCAGACAACACGAATTAAGCGAAGATCTCTCTGACAAGCCAATCCAAGCTGGGATAAGCAAAGTAGAGGATAAAAAATGAGGGCAGTGCAAACAAAAACGTGATAAGGGCATACAGGACCAGAACAGCAGCACTTGCAGGGACAGCATAAAGGACTATCAGCAGGAAGATTATCACGAGCGGAAACTTGGCTGTCAGCTGCATGAAGCACACCATAAGCTTTTGCAGAGAAGCACTAATGTTGTCAGTGTGGAAAATGTTATGGACGACGCTTGTATCTCTGGCAGAAGAGCTCTCTGATCGTACAGTAGCATTTCTTCGGTGTTGATGACTGGAACTTGTGCCAGCACTAGAATGCCATGAGGAATGATGCTCGTCGTGATTAGTGGAATGGAATTTTGCTCTCTCACCGTTCATGCTATCGACCATCCAGAGCAGAAAGTAGTTCTTGCGTGGGAACCTGAGGTTGCCCTTGTAAACCAGACGGAAAGACAACAGGTTGCACCAGGGGCATGAGATGAACAAAGGCAGCTGGATAGGAAGGGACGGAAACTTGACAACTGCCCAGTGAAGACCAAGGATGCAGTTTTTGCACATTGTGTGGCCACACCACAAGACATAGGGAACATTCTCCACAAGGTTGAAGGATTCCCAGCATATTGGACAATCAAGGCCTTCCTCTCTGCTTGTACATGAAAAAACTTCATCATCAGAACAATCTGGATTGGCTATGCTGCATTTTGAGGGTTGTGCCTTTTTCTTTAAGCTTCCAGCTATGGCATTTGATGCAAAGCTCCACATGATGTCCTCACCAAACAAATCTGCGAAAACAATCTTCAGTATTTGATAGAATGCAATCAATACTTGGGGTAAAGATATGACTGGCTCCTGTATGGTTGACCACAAAATCCACTATATATATGCATAAGACAAATATTAGGCACAAAGTCCAAGTTCTAAAGACAAAGAAAGCTTATACGCGGAAAAAATTCTGAAACTTAACAGGTTGAAAATGGTAAACTATACATCAACCAGATGTGTACACAATGAATCGCCACAATCAGAGAGTTACGTCTGGTTCTTGAAGGATTAGGAAAAAATTCTGATGAAAAATACAAAACTGGCCTAGGTCATGCAGAGAAACAGCAATACAGCATCCTGATGCATTGACAACTATTCAAATTGCACATGAATTGGGAAAAACATTCGTCTGTGGTCGGTAGCCTTTTCTTCTTCAAAAGAAGGCAACGATATCCCATGCCCCAATGGCCAATTAAAAAAATCGAGCGGTGGGGGAAGAACCAACCCCAGGGCATTATAATTAAGAAGGGACCATATGACCCGGGTTGAGAACCCCCCCCCAACACACACACCCTGGCCCATGGCCATTTATAGGGCCAAACCGAACTTGGGGCGGCTAACACTGTTACCCAGGCCAGCGCAGTGTACCATTACCGGGGCCAGCGATGCACCACAGACACAAGCCAGCGAGCACAGAGAGGGGGGTTTTTTTGGGTGCAATACCGGGTTCGAACCCCGGTTGGTAGGCACGACCACGATCAACCACACCACTGAACTATCGCTCAATTTGCAACCCCAATGGCCAATAATATGATAAGGAAAACAGCTTCTTCTGCTACTCTTGTTACTTTTTGAATTTAGAAGGGATACATAGATGGAACATCAGATTCTAGTCCTACATGAGAATTTATGTTTAAAATCAACAGCAGTTGATTATATTCTGTAACACATAAACTAAAAGAAACTGATTAACAGCTCCAAAGTCACATTAAAGAACAGGGGACAGTCATCATTGGGTTCTGTGAGAGCAAATGAGCTTAAGACATGTCAATACAAAATGTATTTACAAGTTACAAGAGCGCATTGGATACATAGGCGTATGAATTGGAAGAAGTAACAGATCCTAGAAGGCTACAACTGGAAGAGTGTACTGCACCCAACTTTGAAATATAGAATAACAAAATTAAGGATTGTGAATTTACTTGTAGATGCACAGAAACCAAAATTGGGCTGTTTTTAATTCATCCAAGTCAGAACAAAAACAGCAATCCTAAAAATAGGATGTGATTTGTCATTCAATGGACTTGCAAAAGTGCAACATTGCAACAGATGAGATGTTCATCATCATATAGCATCCAGAGCATATCCTTTCAACAGGTTTGTTTAAGACAGCTTCAACAAAGAGACAGGCTAGCTAACAGGTAATGAGGATGCACCAATTCCCAGATAAAACCTCGTAATCAACCTTGCAGCCCAGCTAGACGATTGGGACTATTCTATGCTCTATCCTCTTGCAACTTTCAGTTACCGTGGTGTATTTGTAAACGACCCCTGGCCTGTTTTGGTGCACAGTGCACCCCGTGAACATGAGATCCCAACATATGTATGTATCACACAAAATTACTGTGTCTACCGGTTGCCCCCAAAATGACAATTATCAGCACTTCATATCAGTGTTAACGCTCCCACCAAAACATGAACCAACCCTAACCTAACCAATATTTTGATATTTTCACATCCATTCCCCTCCCTTTCGTATGCACAAGGCGCCTACTCCCTCGAGACGAACGTTTCGGATACAAATACAGCCATCGGATATTCGAATGCCATTAATCCATGATTGACAATTCAGCTCGAGCACGAGCCATGCGTCCCATCCCAGTAAGCAGAAATTGCCAACAAGTATGTAAGCGCAGGCAGGAATTGGGACGCGAATCAGGCAGGCCACAAGAGTATTAGGGGAAGGAGGAGGCGGCGGCTTACCAAGGAAGGACCCGGATCTCTCTGTCTAGAAGAGCACAGGGTGGGGGGAGTGTCGCGGGAGATCGCCTACGGTGATCACGATGGTGGTCATCTCAGCGAAGGCCGCCGCCCCCCTAATTGCCGCGTCGCGAGGTCGAACGATGGAGGACAAGAGGCGAGAGAAAGGAGCAGTGGACGGGCGGAAGAGGGGGAAGAAGGCCCACGCCCCTGCGGCAGAAGACGCACAGTGTTGCCGTGCGGCCCGTGCCGTGTGCAATATCTGGGTCGCTCGCTCCCTCCTTTGGATGGCTTGGACGAAGCGCCTCCTGTTGTACTTGTAGACCGATGAAGGGAACAAAGTGGCGGGTGACGTGCTCACGTCACATCATATTCTGCCATTAGAAAATGTCGTCCCCGGAATCATGTGAAGGATCAAACGAGAAGAGCGCGTGGTAGCGACCTCAAACGAGATCTCTGCCCTGACAGGCGGCCCACAACTGCAAGAGCCAAGAGGGCCGTTGTGACGACGATACAACGAAACGGAGACGAGAGCAACGGCAAACGCTCCGCCTCTGTCGCGGCAAACGCTGCAATCCCGTGGTGCTTCCTGACACAGGATCCATGCACATGCATGCTAGGATCAGGAGATTCCTATCAAAGAAACTACTCGCGGATCAAGCAGCGGTTACTTGCGCCGTCGCGGCACGCATGGTTGATCCCTTCTCCTGTCAAGCACGAAACGTCGCCCATGGGCCATGACGAAAAAGTGCCGCAGGCAATGAGACAATTGGCCTCGTTCACTTCGCTAAAAAAATAAATTAAAATATCATTCCAGCTATTTTGTCATGAAAAAAAAATACTATTCCGATTAAAAAAAAAGCTAAAAAATACGGATAAGAACGAAAAACGAACAGGGCATACAGAGATTCCTCGGGTGCTACTACTATGATGTCTGAACACACCTCGGTCCGATCCCAGACAAACCGGACAGCAAATGACAATGATACTGAGGTTCTGATTCGTTTTTTATCTTCAGAAAAAGAAACTGGTAAACCTGACTTGTATTACATCGATGTAGCTGCACATCCGGAACACGAATAACGATCCAACACTCTTCGCTCTTCTACTAAGAATGCAATTCGCTTTCTCAAATCCTAAGATTTACGGTCGCTGTCTTCGGATAACGAAAATACGAGGGCCAGAGAGAGCGGCACGACGACGAAGGCGCCCAGCTTGAGCAGCTCCTCGGTGTCCTTGGAGATGGCGCCGATGCGAGACCAGTCGCCGCTGTACCTGCGGAGCACCAGCAGCAGCTACCCACTGTAAGGTCCAAGCAGCAGGCATGGCAATGCCGGGATAGCGCGGCGCAACCACTGGCGGCGTGCGCGTGGAAGCTCACCCGGCGTCGACGAAGCCGAGGGCGAAGAGCGCGACGCCGGCCCGCAGCAGCACGGTCCTGGAGAGCACGCCGCCTCCCGCCCGCCGGTCGTCCTCGTCCTCGTTCGCTGCCTTCTTCTTCGCGCTGCACGGCCAGAGGCGGCGGCCCCGCGCTGCCCGCCGGGGCGTGAGCTGGCGCGGCAGAGGCGGGACGGGAGCGCAAGCAACGGTGCTGGCGCCGGCGTGCAGACGCAGCATGCCGTTCAGCTGGCGCCGGGCGGCGTGCGCTGTTTGAGCGGCTGTGCCTGGCTTTTTTTATCGCTCGTTGGTTCTCGGCCACACGTGTGTTAGCAGCAAAGCCAGCAAGCTGCAAAGGGCTTGCACACACTTTTGTAGCTCTGCCGAAAGCGCCGTGCGGGCAAACTATGGCTGTCCAATGTCCTTCGACATTGTCGCTGACCACCGAAGACTTCGAGTAAATTTGTGGAATGGTAGAGTAGAGTAGTAGACACTACGGCTGCGTTGATTTCTCCTCGCACCGTGAGTTTGAAGCTCCACCGCAAGTCGCATTCTCCAATTCGACCGATTCGGGGTTTTTTTTTCGGAAATTTAACGAAGACCCGCGTCCAAAATTTCGGAGAACATGCTTGGTTTTAGGTGGTCGGTCACCGGAACAGACAACTAGCGTGTGTTTGGTTGTGGACTCCTGGGACGGGTTGGATGTATGCTAGTACTTTGGGTTGGCTTGCACCCGTTTTGTGTTTGGTCAAGGGCTGGTTTATCCTATGTTTTTTGTTTGGTCGGCGATAAATCAAACGGGCAGATCCTGACATGTGAGTCCTGCACGTCATTCTCTCAGCCCTTCTTCTTCCCTAGGTTATCGCGCGGCCTCTGGTGCATCTCCTCCGTTGCACCCCCCACGGCCATGGCACATCTCCTCCGCTGCGCCGCCCACGGTCATGGCTCTATTGTGCATCTCCTCCGCTGCGCGTCCCCACGGCCATGGCGGATCTCCTCCACTACATGGTGAGCGCCGTTGCGCCCCCACGACCGTCGCCCGGGAGTCAGTTGGTCGTAGAGAGGAGCGAGCGGCGGCCGTAATTGGCCTGCTGTCGTGCTCCCTTGCGTCACCAGGGAGACGGACTCGAGGGAGATGCGTGCATTCAACGTGGGTCAACCTCGTCCACCCGATTTTGCGGTACCGAGGGAACCCACATTTACTGCGAATATGCTCTCCTGGGTTTGACCCCAACCCCATGAACTCTGATCCAAACACCCAAAAAACTGGGTCCAACCCAATTGATCCCTCCATCCAAACACATGCTTAATTTCCTCAAGTTTGGAACGCGATATGAAATCTATAACAACATCGTGGAAACACGAGTTGATAGTGCTTGGTTTCGAATTGGGCGGTTACAGATTCAACGACAGTAGGTTTCAAGCCTGTTGGAACTGACAATAAAAGTTGTTTTAGCACCAACAAGAAGTGTGGTTTAGTAGCAATCTACTTTGTAACATGGCTATATAACATTAGTTCTTAAAACACGTGTGGGACAAATAAGACTTTGGTTTAGGTTCTCTTTGGAACACATGATATGAAATATACTGGAATAGGAAAAATACAAGAATCGACGTGCCATGTGTTTATCAAATATAGAAACTAAAAACACAAGAAAATAGATGAGGGGCCTTTGGTAGTATCACAGGGAAAACAAAGGTTTCTTATGCTCCCAATTTTGAATTTACCGCCAAACACACGAAGCACACCTCGGATGGGAGCGAGCCACGCGCGCGAGAAGTTTATTTTCGTGCTAAGAAATTTTCCAAGAGGCCTCTTGTTTTCATGTGGAATCAAGCCATAGGAGTGCAATCCCGTGAAATGCTTCCTATTCTTTCACGTGAACCAAAGGGGTGTAAAGAAAAAATTCGAAAAAGGAAGATGAATCATTCAAAAATCCTTTGTCATTCCTTTATTCCAAAGGCCCCATTAGATTTAGAAGGTGATAGATTGATGGCATGTACATCCTTAAGATGTGGTTCTATACAAATGGCAAGCCGCTGTATAAAGTGTGTGTTCGTTGTCTTTTTCTAAAAATAAACGTGACACTAGTCAATCTTGTCGTTTTGTGGTACGAAACCTATGACAACACTGTGAAAACATGAGTTGATATAATAATACATGAATAATAGTGTCACGGTGTATACAAATAGTGCTTGGTTTAGGTTCAGTTATAGATTCAATGATAATATGTTTAAAGCCTAACAAAACCAACAATAAGTGTCGTTTAATAGCAACCCATTTTATGACGTGGCTATGTAATACTGATACTTAAAACACATGTGAGACAAAATAAATGCTTTGGTTTAGATTTAGAAGGTGATAGATAGATGGTGCATATACCATGAAGACGTGGCTACGTAGCACTAGGTTTTAAAACACGTGTGAGACAAATAATTTTTTTTGGTTTTGATTTAGAGGGTAACAGATAGATGACGTATACATCCTCAAGATGAATGGCCGTTAAGGTAGGAACATGCTGTTTTAAGTTTGTCTCCACGTTTATGAGTGTTGTTTCCGTTACCACTGGGTAACCTCCTACGCCCAGTTAGGAATTTGGATCTATGACTGTGATTCTGATTCCAATTTCTACTAGGACGGACTGTACTCATGACTGATGCACCTCAGTTTACAAATTACAATCTACACGCAAATTTCCGAAAAATCCAATCCAAAACCCCCATTCCACGCGCATCTAGCAAGTCCCTACCGCGTAGCACGGCGGATGCTCCCGCTCGAACCCAAAAAGGCCCCACGCGGCCACGCCACATCGAAGTGTTTGAGACGTTTGCCCCCGGTGCATCCCCACGGCGGCACGGCCCAAACCAAACACCGACCCGAACCGCACGTCTACTCGCCCTCCCCAACACAACCCTCCCCTTGTCTTCCCCTCCTCTCCTCACGCCGACCACTCGCTTCCTCATCGCCGCCGCCGCCGCCGCTTACTCATCCCCACAACCGCATCGATCCATCGCTCGCGCTAGGTTTTCCGCCCGACCCCCTCCTGGGGATCCACCGGCCTGGCTCAATTCGTGCCGAGGGCGGCTGCTCCGAGCTCTTAGCCACCCGTCGCCGCTGTAGCCCGCTGCTGCGGGGGTGCTTTGCCGTCGGCTGCCGCTGGTGTCGGGAACTAGGGTTTTGGGTCCGCCAGGCGGAGGAGGGTGCATTGGTTGGCGCGCGCATGGGGATGGTGCCCAACGGGCTCCTGCCCAGTGCGTCCGCCGGGGTGACGCGGCGGCTCGACCCCGAGCGCTGGGCGGTCGCGGAGGACCGCACGGCGGAGTTGATCGCGCGCATCCAGCCCAACGCGTACTCCGAGGGGCGGAGGCTGGCCGTGTACCACTACGTGCAGCGGCTCATCATGAACTGCCTCTCCTGCCAGGTAGGGTACCTGCTTACCAAGTGGTCCGATTGCCCACCACAGGTAGCAGTGGAGATTAGCATCTGTCTGAAGTAGAACGCTCTTAGATGGCAGCGAGGACTGCTGTGTGGATGCTTAGATGAGACTGCTACTTTAGAACTGGCTAGCGTAATAATCGATGTTTTACTTTCTGTTTGTTATTCAAATGTTTGTCTGAGCAACCGAAGCTTATTCTGGATAGAGTGCTCGTTGGAAATGGTGGCTTATGGTTCCAGAGGGCCTCTGGTCACTTGACACCAATGCTTCGGATCTGATACTTGTTTAGAAACATGAAGCTTTCATACAACGGGGATGACTGGGAAAAAGTAATCTGTGCATTGGGGAAGAGCATGAAGAGAGATCCGGGATATAGTGTATAGTTGAACTGTAATTCCCCTCTTTATACACATTCCTGTGACATGAGGTGTATGAAAATCCTGTTTAATAGTTATAAATCAATAGCCATATGTGGCTGTATGAAAATCCTGGTTTGTCTGTTGGGATGAGCATTTGCTGTGCAGCCTAGGAGTAGGAGGTGCGTCGGGATACCACTTTTACCTTACTTCATGCTTCTTTGATGATTGAAATAGACCTGTTTGTTTGTCTTATGCATGTCAGGGGGGATTTTTTCACTAGCATTTTGGACGTTCCTGCTCTTATCTTCAGCATCCAGTTATCCAGTTGACTTTATATGCTTCACAGAGAATTGGTCTCTTCCTCTCTGCAGGTTTTTACCTTTGGGTCGGTCCCTCTCAAGACTTACTTACCCGATGGTGACATTGATGTCACTGCTTTTAGTAATAGTGAAGAATTAAAGGAGATTTGGGCAAATCTTGTCCGGGATGCATTGGAGCGTGAAGAGAAGAATGAAAATGCTGAATTTCATGTAAAAGAAGTCCAGTATATTCAGGCAGAGGTATTTTTCCCTGTGATATCTCTTTTAGTTGCTGTATAAGCATCAGAGAAGCTCAATACGAGGTTATGCCTCTGCTAAATGTGTACCTATAATAGAGTTTAAATTAGCATCATGGGTTCATGGCTTACGACTTTATGATTGTGTTGAAGTTATTACCAGAAGTTGCCTATTGCATGCTGTGCCATATGAATCTGTACAGAACCGAAAGTAACAAAATATCTAAGTTAAACTTCAGTTTAGTATGTGGCCATCGCTCCTTTAATACAGTTCTTTGCAGAATGTAGTGTGGGCAAAATCGCTATGCTAATATACTATTAAATTTTAGGAGGATTATGTTTTTGAAGACACTTCTAGCATCAACCTTAGTTCTTAGTACAGAAAAAATGCATCTGATTCCTTTTTTCTTGCTCCCTTCCCTTGTCTTCCTTCGGGGAATATACCATATTTAAGGATTTGCCACTTGTATACATATTTTTTCATACATTTGTGTCGTTCTCTCATGTTCCATGTATCATGTACAGGTCAAGATTATAAAGTGTCTTGTGGAAAACATTGTTGTTGACATCTCATTTAATCAAGTCGGTGGACTATGCACACTATGTTTTCTTGAAGAGGTGTGTTCTTACTCCAAATCCAGCTTAATTTGTATATACAGAGCATGTGCTTGAAACTTTACCATTTATATCTTATAATCCTGTAAAAAAATTATGTTGGCTTGGTTCGGCTGTTCAAATATGATGATTTTCTGCCTATATTTGCTTCTAATGATTCTGCATTTTAATAGATTGACAACTTGATCAGCCGAAACCATTTATTCAAGAGGAGTATCATATTGATAAAGGCATGGTGTTTCTATGAGAGTCGTATTCTCGGAGCTCACCATGGCCTTATATCTACTTACGCATTGGAGACACTTGTTCTGTACATATTTCATATATTCAACAACTCTTTCACCGGACCTCTTGAGGTGACTTTACTTTCTCGTCTTTTATACGTATATCCTGACATGAAGCCAGTGCTTATTTTCTATTTGTGCATGTGCAGGTGCTGTACCGCTTCTTAGAATTTTTCAGCAACTTTGATTGGGAGAAATTTTGTTTGAGCTTGTGGGGCCCAGTTCCTATTAGTTCACTTCCAGATATGACTGGTAATCCATATGTATAGTTTGTTTTGATAGAGCAATGCTTGATTGAGACATGGACGTTTTGATCATTCATGTTACATCATGCAGTGGAACCCCCACGGATGGACAGTGGTGAATTGTTGCTGAACAAGTCCTTCCTGGATACTTGTAGTTCTGCATATGGAGTTGTGCCTCGCACCCAGGAGAACCAGGGTCAACCATTTGTTTCAAAACATTTTAATGTTATTGATCCTTTACGTGCAAACAACAATCTTGGAAGAAGTGTCAGTAAAGGTAACTATGAAGTAGGAACATGCTTTAAGATTTATGTTACTGGTGAATTGAACGGAGTAAATGTACTTTGGTAGTTTGGCTTCAATTATTTCCATACAATTGATGGTGTGCTGCTTTTGATTTAATGATTTTTACTGTGATTCTGTGGTATTTGTAATGCTAGACGACTATGCCATACACTGTATACATGGTAATTGATTGCTAGTTTGCTATCTCAATGTTTGGCTGTTCCAGTTTTTTTTTTTGCTTCTTTTGTATGGGGAATTTTCCAAAGGAAGTAGAGGCGAGGCTAAAGATACTTGGTGGTGGAACGAGGAAGTCCAAAGGGCTATTAAGGAGAAGAAAGAATGCTATAGACGTTTGTACCATGACAAGAGTGTGGACAACATAGAGAAGTACAAGGTGGCAAAGAAGACTGCAAAGCGAGCTGTAAGTGTGGCAAATGGTAGAGCGTACGAGGATCTTTACCAACATTTGAGTACGAAGGAAGGAGAGAAGGACATTTATAGGATGGCTAGGGTTCGTGAGAGAAAGACAAGGGACTTCAACCAAGTTAAGTGCATTAAGGATGAAAGGGAGCATCTCTTGGTGAAGGAGGATGAGATCCGACATCGATGGCAAGAGTATTTTGACAAATTGTTCAATGGTGAGAATACGGACACAACCTTTCCATTGGATGACTCTTTTGATGACACCAATAGGCGCTTTGTGCGGAGAATCCAAGAATCTGAGGTCAGAGAGGCGTTGAAAAGGATGAAAGGAGGTAAGGCGATGGGACCGGATGGTATCCCAATCGAGGTGTGAAGATGCCTCGGGGACATAGCTATAGTATGGGTAACCAAGCTGTTCAACCATATTTTTCGATCGAACAAGATGCCTGACGAGTGGAGAAGTATATTTGTACCGATCTACAAGAATAAAGGGGATATTCAAAGTTGTACTAATTACCGGGGAATTAAGTTGACGAGCCATACTATGAAGCTATGGGAGAGAGTTATCGAGCATCGTTTGAGAGCAATAACGCGGGTCTCTATGAACCAATTTGGTTTCATGCCCGGAAGGTCAACCATGGAAGCCATTTTCTTAATAAGACAAGTTATGGAGCGGTATAGGAAGGAGAAGGACCTACACATGGTTTTTATTGACTTGGAGAAGGCTTATGATAAAATACTAAGAAATGTTATGTGGTGGGCTTTGGACAAACATAAAGTCCCAACGAAGTACGTTGGCCTCATTAAGGACATGTACAACAATATTGTGACTAGTGTTCGAACAAGTGATGGAGACACGGATGACTTCCCGATTAGGATAGGACTACATCAAGGGTCAGCTTTGAGCCTTTATCTGTTTGCCTTAGTGATGGATGAGGTTACAAGGGACATACAAGGGGACATCCCTTGGTGTATGCTTTTCGCGGACGATATAGTGCTAGTTGATGAAAGCCGGACATGAGTGAATCGGAAACTGAAGTTATGGCGGGAGACTTTGGAGTCCAAAGGTTTTAGACCCAGTAGAACTAAAACTGAGTATATGAGATGTGACTTCGGCACTACTACTCGGGAGGAGGAAGATATTAGTTTGGAAGGTCAAGTAGTGCCTAGGAAGGATAGCTTTCGATATTTAGGATCAATGCTACAGAGAGACGGGGATATTGATGAAGATGTTAGCCATAGAATCAAAGCAGGGTGGATGAAGTGGCGCCAAGCATTTGGTGTCCTATGTGACAAAAGGGTACCACAGAAGTTAAAAGGCAAGTTTTATAGGACGACGATTAGACCTGCTATGTTGTATGGTACAGAATGTTGGCCTACGAAAAGACGACATGTTCAACAGATAAGTGTCGCGGAAATGCATATGTTGCGTTGGATTTGTGGTCATACAAGAAGGGATCGAGTTCGGAACGATGATATACGTGATAGATTAGGGGTAGCACCAATTGAAGAAAAGCTTGTTCAACACCGGTTGAGATGGTTTGGACATGTCCAACGGAGACCTCCAGAGACACCGGTGTGTAATGGAATCCTAAGCCAGGATAGTAACGTGAAGAGAGGCAGAGGAATACCGAAGTTGACTTGGGTCGAGGCAATAAAAGGAGACTTGAAAGGATGGAATATACCCAAAGACTTAGCCTTAGATAGGAGTGCTTGGAAAACAGCTATTCACGTGCCTGAACCTTGATTGCTTCTGTTGGGTTTCAACTCTAGCCTACCCCAACTTGTTTGGGACTTAAAGGCTTTGTTGTTGTTGTTTTGTATGGGGAATTTTGTGGCAGACGCCCTTCCCCAGACCCCGCACAGAGCGGGAGCTCTTTGCACTGGGTACGCCTTTTTTTTTATTCTTTTGCTGTCACGGTAGCTGTTTGATTGTTAGCATAATTAAGAAACTATATTTTGAGATTTAATCAGTTTAACTCGTTATGGCGCATTTTCTGTTAGCAGAAGTATTTGGTCAAAACTCAAAAGTCCACATAATTGTAACTTATTCTAGTTTGTGTCCTGGTGGAATGTCACTGTTCTCCAGATATATGCATATAAATTTTCTAGCAAATCAACCTAATACTGGCAATAAGAATTTCATTATTTTCTTATGCTGTAACAGGTCCTCTGTAGCTATAGTTTACTTTGTTGTCTGGTCTATTCTGGTCTGTCTAGCTATGCTAAGATGTCTGGTACTTCAACAAAATAGCAGCCTCATGTCGAAGATATATGTTCTCACCAGTCCTCTGTTGCATGTTAATCATTATGTGAGTATATAATTTGAATGTTGTGATTCAATCTTGTTAGGGCCAACTTGACAAAATCTTTTGGCCTAAATAATCTCTGCTGAGCCAGCAATTTTAAGCTCCATGCATCCCTCCCTGGTAGATTTCATTAACTAGAAATTTCTTGTCTAATTGGTAAGAGATCCAAACGGGCCTTAAGCAGCAACTAGGTGCACTTACTTTATTTTGGGTTTGTTACAATTTATGTCAATAGTGACAGCATTTTGTAAGAATGTGACCCGTAATAGATTCTCCTTGAGCAGTTTTGTGATGTCACACATATTCACTCTTACATGTATTGACCTTTTGAGTATGCTAAATAAGGGCAGCATACTTTGATTGTTTAATACTTAAATAAATATGACAATTTTTCCTTGTGCTCTTTACTCGGAAAAGAACTCTTGTCATTACTTTGTCTTCTTATCTCTTTGTTGCTAATTATGTCCAGTCTCGTAAGAAGATGTGTTCAGTGAAAAGTTTTGGTTTTGCAGGAAATTTCTTTAGAATACGTAGTGCTTTTGCGTACGGGGCGAAAAGGCTTGGAAAGTTACTTGAATGTCCAAAAGAAGATTTAATTGCTGAGTTAAACCAGTTCTTCACAAATACATGGATAAGACATGGGAGTGGCAGTCGTCCTGATGTGCCTACCCCAAGTCTAGTTGATGTGCGGCCTCTGGAGGTTGTTCCTTCTGTAGTGTCAGGCAGCCAAAGAAGTGTAACAGCATTCAAGAAAAAGGTTGAAAATCCTAAGCTTCATGCTAATCAGGATAATCTTCGTCCGAATCAAGATAATCTCACTGAAGTTGGTCACATTTATACTGACCCTTCTCAACCAATTCACAAAAGTGACATACATTATCGTAATCTGCCAAGAGCGGTTAATCCTTCAGTTACTCATGTTCAGCACCAAAAAAACTATACACCACAAGGCAATGCTAAGGTCTCTGAACAGCTTGAAAGAAATAACTCAGCTGGATTGATGCAAAGTGAAAGGGATAAGAGAGTGCCAAATGGTCTCTTTGTCAATGACAGAAATGGGCAGAACAGGTCTAGATTTGCAAGAACCCGATCAAGTCCTGAACTCACAGACTCTTCTGCTGAAGGGTTTCGTGGAAGGCGGACTAATGCAGTTGGTATGGAAAAATCTTTGGGTGTTGATTACAGCAGCAGAAGAAACATCTTGGTTCCAGAAGTGTCTAGCAACCACAGCACTAAGTCTTCACAGGATGAATCAGTATCTTCCTTGAACAGTTCATCTCACCCTAGTGCAATGGCAGCTTCTGACTCAAATAGTGTTTCAAGCAGCTATCGTGATGATAATGGTTTTGTGATGAATGAAGAACTCCCTTCTGTTTCTGAATCATCGGATATGCACCATGACGAACAAGTTCTGGTTAATTTAATGGAATCCGTGAAGTTGCATGGATTCAATGGACAGATTCAATTACCAATGCAAATACCTTCTCATATGTCCGTAGCACATCCTCCTTTATTGGCTCCAACAACTTTTTCACAAAAGCATTTGGCTGGGGTTCCACCAGCTAACTTAATTGGGACACCATGGTTGCCCAATATGCAGTTCCTGCATGGATTTGTTCCACCTCCTATGGCCCATTACATTCACAATCCAAATTTTGCACCAAACATTGAGGATGGTACTGAAACTGAAAAGCCTAATACATCAGATGTGAATCATGATGCTGGCAAAACTTGGCAAGAGTATGGTGTTGGGTTTTCTAGACAGTTTGATCCTGAAGCAAGAGATCCTCACATCTATGGTATTGATGGCAAAGAACATTCCTCTTTGCCTAATGGTGTACCAGGTGCTCCCTTGGAAAGGCAGATGAAATTTACAGTTGAGAATAATGGTGTAGATGATGAAACTTATACTGGCATGTTCCAAAACCATACAAGTAGAGAAGCTGCTGTAGATTACTCTAAGAGGAGTGGCTATGTGAATGTTCTTTCTTCACATGCCAGTTCATCCAAAGGCAAAACTCTGGATTCGAGTTCATGGGATGAAATGACTGTAAATACAACAAGACCATCAAGAGAAAAATGGGGAAAAAGATCTGCCTTTACGGCACCTGCCACGACCACACATGGCAAGACTGGGTGGCAGATGGGAAATAACGCTGAGCATCTCCCAGCTGAAGTTAATGATGGCCCCAGAAATGGGACAGTTGTACCAATCATCACTGAAGCTTCTGAGATAGTAACAGGGTCTGATTCTTTTTCAGCACAATCAAGAACTAGTCAAGTACCAAATGATTTTGATCCATCACAAATTGGCATGCCAAATCCAGTGTTTGCACCTTTTCTTATTGGATCACCACAGCATAGGCAAGGTGATAGCTCTGGACTTACTTTTGTTCAAACAGGTCCACCAGTTCCTTTTGTTGTGCTCCCGTTTGTTCCAGGGAATAGCGATGGTTCTGGTCCCCAGTTTGAGAGAAGCGAAGGAATTGATCAGCTTCCTGCCAATACTGTAGGTCAATTTTTTGGTTCACTTAATGATGTTCACCAACAAGATTCCAGTGCTACCTCAACAGTATCATCCAGTTCTATGACTGAGTCATCTGGTGAACACAAGCCTGACATCTTGAATAGTGATTTTGTCAGCCATTGGCATAATTTACAGTATGGGCGACTCTGCCAGAATCCTCGTCCCATGGGTCCTGTTCTATACCCTGTTCCGGTGCCGCCAATGTATTTACAGGGCCATGCTCCATGGGATGGGCCTGGAAGACCAGCTTCACCAAATGTTAACTGGCCACAAATGGTGGGCGGTCAACAAGTATTTCCTGTGATGCCTGTACAACCGTCTACAGAAAGAACTGGTGTTCTTCAGCACTATGGTGAAGATGCACCTAGATACCGTGGAGGCACAGGAACCTACTTGCCAAATCCTGTAAGAACCTAATATTTCTTTCAGTATCTTGTATCATGCATAGAGAGCCTGTTAGTAATAATATATCATGGAAAAAAAAACTGAACAAGCTTGATCCTTTATTGTATTATTACAGTATTGCAATTTTAATACGTGGTTAGCTGAGACCATCAACGCTATCAATGTACTTATATCGAACTTTGCTTTCTAAACTTCATACTCATTCCAGCTTGTTCCACAGCTGTTATGGGCTTGAGATTGCTGGCCATCCATGCCCTGTTGTTCTTTAACAATCTAGTTCAAAAAGGTTACACCATCAGAAATAAATTTGTCGTATATCTTATTACAGAGAACAAGAGGACTGTAAGGTCCATGTTTATCTAGAGTCTGGGAAATAATTGACTCATTGAATATGTGATTGGATGGGTCTTTATCATCCCATCCATTTCAAATTTGTTTCCACCCTTCTCTATTTTCTTTTCCTCTCTTTTTACTGAATTTTAGGATTTGTCCCATCAATCCAAACCTGCAAATGCCCCTTTAGATGATTCAATTGCTCAACCAGAGATTGTCACTATTCATAGTTCTGTTGGATTCTGTCAGTTTGGTAAAATTCAAAGTGTTAACTTGCTAATAACTAATAAGATTTATGAGTCTACCTGCCAAATTGATGTGAAGATTCCCTTTATCTCGGCATGAGTATCTTAGAGCTTGAGGCCCAGAGTCTAGACACAAGCAGTGGTTGTTTTGTATCAGCTTGCTAGCTTTGAGTTGCTTATTGGTGAAATTGGTCTTTGCTAGTGCTAGCTTGTTTTAATAACATTATCCAAAATCATCATGCTGAAGTTCGTGTGCTAGGAGCAGTTTTGCCGGAACCAGCTATGTCATTATCCTGTAACCATGCACTAGTAGTTTTGGTGCTTCTGATCACTAAAGAAGGATGCGCCCTGGATGGATTTTACTAGAATTACTCTAAGATCCACCAAAAACACCCTTTCTTTCCAACTAAGCCTTCTTTCTTTAAATGGTCTTTAATCAACTTGAAAGCCATATGTTACCCACCAACAGCATGAAATCATAGCATAGTAACTTTGCGGCATTTAGGTTGGAGCTTCTTTAAGGCCAACCTAGGTCTACATTCTGTTCATCTTGGGTCATGGCACTTTGATTTCCATGTTTTGCAAGAGATAGATTTATTAAGCAATGATTTTATGAAATTGATAGTCTGGACTGTGGAATACTAAGCTGTCAATTTTATGGCTTCTGTTCAGAAGGTTCCTTATAGGGACCGGCACTCAAATTCAAGAAACTACAGAGGAGGTTATAATGGTGACAGGGGTGACTATAGTGATAAGGAGGGAAGCTGGATAAACTCAAAACAACGAAATCCAAACCGCGGCTATGGACGTAGCCAGTCAGAGAGGTCTGGCATGAGGTCTGATAGACAGGTCACTGATGAGAGCCAGTCTGATAGGCAACGGCGAACTTATAGAAATGGCTCGTACCGGCATGAGGCAAGCTCTCAGTATCTTGTGCAGGGCCAACCTTTTGGATCCACAAGCTCTATGCGCAAACCAGGAAACACAGCGCATGGGGTTTATGCACAACCATCTACGTCTTCAAATGGTGCCGGTGCTTTATCTGGCCCTCCAGGACCACCATTTTTTATGGTGTACTCCTATGAACAAGGCTCAAATCATGGTGCTTCCTCATCTGAACCAATTGAATTTGGATCTCTTGGGCCACTTCCTGCAGCAGATGGTGATGGCATACCAAGGTCGACACGCCAAGTAATGCCTAATGGGTTTTATGGGCAAAGACGTGGTCCATATAGGGGTGGTTCCTCTCATTCGTCTCCTGATCAACCATCCTCACCTCGGCATCGTCGGTAATACTTGTTATTATATTCTTTGTTTATCACTGTTTTATTTTCAATGTTTCCGTATGAGCAGTCTGAAAAAATTACATCATGAATATGTAACAAAACTTTATGTTATCTGTAAAAAAACAACTCATCATGCTTTCATCTATATTAGCAGAATAAATGCATTACAGCAGTTGTCAATAGTAAGTTAACTTCTTTTTTTTATAAGAATAATAGTAAGTTAGTTGACCTATAGTTAAAATTGACGGACAATGATGGATCGCTGAAAATTCAAATTTGTTAAATTCTCACGCGTTGAAGAATCTGGCACATGAACATGCAGCCATGTGCAAATTAGGTAGGGCAAGCAGGGATTGAAGAGATAGGCTGCTTCATATTTCATGTTGATATATAAAAAAAGGGATAAAATAGTATATTCAAGCCACAGAACAAAAGTTCCAACTCATTTTGTTTTCATTCCTCAGTGGGTGTCTCATTTAATGAGAATAGTCATTCTCTCATGCCTCATGGTTACTTTGTCACGTTGGTGATAATGGCCAGTAACCTCATTTGCATACATTATCAATGTGTGCTCATTTTTGGTTGCCTGTGGCCTACATAGTCTAAAGTATGCACAAAACAAAGTGTGTTGAACCGACACCCATAGCTGTTTGCAGTAATTAGTAAATTGGCTCCTGGTATCTAGTTCCAAAGGTATAAATTAGCGCATAACCACATCGAACTAGTACCAGATCAGGGATTATGGTTGCCATCATTTATGTAGCTTGCTTCTGTGAATTGATTTATGTATTTACCTGCAAGTATTTAGCACCATTTGTTGTGCTGAAATCTGTGTTTCTGTTTGCTTTGAAGGTAGTTGAGTCTTCATATGATGGCTTGATCACTTGGTTTCTGGCATTGAAACCTTGCGATAGCAATATTTCGTCCACCCTCGTGATCATATCCTGCATGGGTGCAGATGGTTGGGCCATCAGCAGCCACAAAAAAAAACAAGTATATGCCCTAGCTGGCTTCTTGGTGCTTTGTGATCTCAGAAGCACTGAATTGTGAATACCGTCAAAAGAGGCATCAATTACCGACAGGTTATTTTACCAGTCACAATGGTGCTTCCTGGAATTAAAACAACTATCTTCAGAACAAATCATGGAACCGTCAAAACCCAGAATATCTTCACACAGAAATCAGAATTGAACTGAAGATTATGAACAAGGATGAACTGGTTCCGGCCGTCTCATCATATGAATTGTGTCAAGGATAATAACAATATTAGTTTGGATGGAGCAGGAACAAGCATTGCTGCATCGGAAACAATCTGGAATGATTTGGGTTTTAATGTGTCTGGGCGTGTGTAAGTGAAAGCTAATAATGAAATCCTCGTACCATTCTTAGGTAGGATTAAGCTCATGCAACACAGCAAACTATTCACTTAGATGCACACTGAGTTAAGTGAATCGTAGGAAACAAATTCTCGTGCTGAAGCGAGGGATGACTCCAGAATACTCAAGGCACGAGTAAAAAGTTATCCATGTCAATCTTCCTCGGTTCCATTCCATGTGTACTGTGTGCTGGACGTCCGCATGTTTCTCTGCCTGGGCATTGTGATGCATGAATTGTTTTCAGGGCTGTTTCATCTATGATTGTTATTCCCAGAACTGAGTCCGCCATTCAGTCCTGCAGAGCTGCAGTTTTACGTTACAGCAGTACACTTCCAGTTCTTGAAGAACAAGGGGAATTTAGGGATCTTGAGAATTAGTGTAGATGGCAATTTACTGGTGCTATATGCATTTTACAATGGGTACATATGCATTGCAAATTCTGAGCTCCCATTATTTTGGTGATCATTCTCGTACTCCTAGTGGCCTATGGGCTGGTCTAGATCCCCTGGTAATCAGGGTATTTCGCCTGCTGAAACTGAATGATGTGCTCAGCTCGCTATTCTGCTCCGGTTCTCTTCTTGAGCTCCGAAATGAAGTCCTCCTCTCCTGGTCGGTCATGCCCTCCGTGGAGCAGTCCCCGACGCCCCACTCGGCGCCCCGCAGGCAGTACTTGTCCTGGATCATCCTCTCGTTCCTGCAAAAATCATAGCTTCAGCGTTGAACATGTATCACCAGAGAGATCTTAAGGAGCGTAAGCAAATATGTTTTTACTTCTCTTTGTTCTTCTTGGACTTCTCGAGCAGCTCCTGCAGCACCTTGGACTTCTTGAACCTGTTATCGAATTCGGCGTACTTCTTCTGGTTCTCCGCTTGCGAGCGCAACAGGAAGGCAGGGTTTCCATCAGTCAAGAAGGCCTGAATTGTATAAGTTTGCCGCAAGAACAAGTCCCTGGCCTTCACAAGAACTCAACAGGAAACTGAGGCAAGCAACTAACCATTCCATTTCTCCAGGACCTCGAGCCGGGGGAGGTCGGGGCCTGGAGTCGACTCCAGTCCCGAGAAACCGGACAGGATGCCGGCGTTCACTGCAGTCAAAATGTGCCGGGCATTAGTTTGGAAACACCGGCGAATCTGTGAATGCTTTATGTTCCATCCAAGTGCTGCATGCGACACCCAACTCATCCGCGACTCTAGATACTGTTCACAAGAGCAGTTTCTAGCGGATTGGTGGGGCAATGTCGCCGACTCGCCGGTGGGAAAGGATGGGGCCGACTTGTTCATTTGTGAGCCTCTAACTTAGATTTGTTGCGAGAGAGAAATACTATTTGTTGATTGAAAAAGCACGACTTATAAGCCAAGCGAACAGTACGTACACTCCTTGATTTTTTTTTGTGTGCACTTAGTTTGTCTACGCTGCTCAAGTTTATATGTATAGGTCTTACCATGTATGTATAGGTGGTGAATCTAAAATCTGAGGATTAGTTATGGTGCGTTTGGGAGGTATCTAGATTCTCGTAGACGTTCTGGATCCAAATTCTTTCTCAAAAAAATGTTTTAGATGATGAATCATCATCATTTTATGAAATCGTTTGGCTGATAGGCTAGATTTTGATTAAAAACAAAAAAGCATATAAATGAAAACATTCTTAAAATAAATTCAGTATTTGTTGTGGGTGAAGAACAAATAGAACCCATTTTTAATTTGCTGCAATAAAAAAATTAAACTAAAAGGCACCATCACTGTTGTATTAAGGATGTAAGAAATATACCATGTTTGCTTGTCTTATGAACCGTACTATTTCAGCGAACGAACATTCTGCCCGTTCGGTAGGCTGGCTGGTGCTGGGCTTTCTAGCCCAGCTGTTCAGCAGCCCAGCACCAGCCGCACCAGCCGAACGGCTGGCTTATATCCGTTGCCGACTCGCGTCCGTCACTTTCTCCCCTTCCTCCTGTCACTCGCGGTGGCTAGGGTTCCACGCTCACGCGCCGCTCCTCGCCATCGCTCCGCGCCTTTACGGGCAATAGCCTGCGCCGCGTCAACGGCCGGCGTCGGTGGCCCCCGGATCCGGGCGCGGCCGCCTCTGAACTCCGTCCTCCTCGGCGGGCCTGCGGTGAAAGTGTCCTCGTCCTCTTCCCCCACCCCGCCTCCATCGACGACGCTTTCGGCCAGCCAGGTAACCCAGATCCCACGCCTCCGTCCTCTCACCTGGCCGCCTCTGAGCCGCAGCTGGTCGTCTTGTAGGTTGAGCTCCGCGCGGCTAGGGTTTCCCTCACTCTCGTCGGCCTCGGTGACTGTGGGCTCGGCCTCCCTACCCGGACCCCGCCTCCATCAACGGCGACTCCTTCCAGCACGGTAGGCCCCACGGAACCTGACGCCGCGCAGTTTGACCCGCCGGATCTGAGATCCAACACGTACTCAAGTCTGCTCCTCTATGTGTCTGATACAAATCACCACAATGTGTCGGATACAAATCACCACATCTTGTTTCTATAGCACAGAAGTGCTCTACGTACATATTTTAGGACAACATTTCTGAATACTTTCCGTACAGATCTGGTAGATGATGCTTAATGGCTTAGTTAACGTTCGAATCACCTTTTGCTAACAGTTGTGTGGGTTTGCAGTCAATTTCTGCTACTAGTAACATAGTTCCCGAACCATTTATGGTTACTAACGTCCTAACATTGTTTGGTCGGTTTGTAAGGTTGGGCTCCGTATAGTGTTGATGTGGACATGTAAGATGTCATTCATTTCTTGGGTGCACATGTTCTATAATTATGTTGTCAATGTATTGCTTACCTCATTTGCCTTCATTGAGAAGCTGAGTTAGTTTAGTTATTTTGCAAGACAGCATTTTCCTCAACTTAGTTTCTCAGTTTTCTTCGATTGATTGGGCTGGCATTGAATTTGTAACATGTTTGGAGTAGTATTCGAAATTCTGTTGTTATTAACTTTGTTCCAGTGCGATATAGGGTTATGTCCTATGAGTTATCGAGTCTAATGATTCATTGCCTGATTCATCATTGCTTTGATATTCACACGTACTACACATAACTCGAATCTGAAATCGACTGGATTATGTTACACCGTACACATGCGATCTTCTTCACCCGTTTCAATGTTAACTTTTTCACATTAGGGTTTTCATCTTACAATTGTGCTCTATGACTGCACTGCAGACATAGAAGGGACGTTTCGTCCGGTTGTGATCAACGCTGCCCAAACTGGCAGCGTCGTTGGCTTCGTCTTGCTCTCCAACTGCTGACAGGCACTACAATCTCCGCTCAAAATGCCAAAAACGGTCTCAAAAGGCAAGTTAGCGATACTATTTGTCAATTTGCAGTTTGCATTTGGTGTTTAGTTGGCCTTTGCGAATTTTACAGTGTTAGTGAATGGTGCTACTTACGCACCATGGTCATTCCTGTGGTTAATTTGCTTGCTTCATCTCTTGCTTTTCACCATGAACTTTATTGTATGCATGCTCAGTTTTCAATTTTCTCTCTCTGTTTTGTGTCTGTTACCTATTTCTTTGGTTTGCTCTATGCTTCCTACACTTTGAGGCAACTAGTAGTATCCGTGATAGAAGCAAGCATTACCAATTAGATAGTATATCTATACCAGCATATTGTAATACAATGCTCAGTGTTCAGTTCCCAACGGATTCTAATACAATGTCCTAACTGGTGATTACAGTTTGCGACTGGTGCATTACTAATATCTTTGTCCATCCTTGAATCAGATGAGCCAGGACCGTGCTGTCTGGGATGACAGAGCAACCTCTCTGCTTCTTGACCTAATCATCCAGCAGAAAGAGCTCTGTCACTGGACCCCTGCCAACGGCCCAACCCTACTAGGGTGGACCAAAATCACTCATGACTTCAACCAAGTCACGGACCTTGGGTACAGCAAGAAAGTGTGCCAGAACAAGTACAACGAGCTGAAACGTTGTTACTTCAATTGGCGCGACGGCTAGACCCATACGGGCCTCGGTCGTGACCCACTGACTGGAGAGGTTACAGCTGACCCCGAGTGGTACGGCGCCAGCCCCAGGGTACTAACTACATGCACTTCTTTTAATTTTTGTAGCAATTAGGTTCCTACTAACTCAGTACTAACTTCACCATCACTAGAACACGTGCAGGAAAGTAGCCAACCCGCTAGAAACAAGTTCAAACGGCCCCAATGATGTGAGCAACTGATCACGATATTGGGACGCACCCCACGTGACAAGGGCCAGTTGGTATCGGCGGGGGGCCATCGACCTGACAACTCACCCAGTAATGGAAGCCCTCGCACTCCTCCATCCTTGTCGAACGAGCCGGCCGTGCCACCTAGTAGTCATCAGCCCTCGAAGAGAGTCCATAGGGAATTCTCAGTTAATAGTCCTCGCAGCAAGAAGAGTAGCCAAACTCCATCCGTAGAAGAGTGCCTTGAAGACCTGGGCCAATTTCTCAGAGAGGCTAGGTCCCGTAAGGAAGGTCAGAATAAACGATGCTCGGGAGTTGGCCCAAGTCCAAGACATTCTGCGGCAAGATGGTATTAGCGAGGCTGATGAAGTATTCGTGCAAGCCCTGGAACTTTGCAGAGACAGGCTTCGTCGTCAGGGTTTTCTGGGCATGACATCTAAAGAGGACCAGCTGAACTGGATCAAAGTTATATGGGGCTTTGTGTCCTCCAACAAGTCCCAATGATCAGCACAATCCATGTTTTTTTCCCGGTTTGCGGATATCCACCATGTGCATGTTGAGTTCATTCGGTTTGTTGTATCGTTAGGGTCGTTTTTCCGTATTACCAAAGACCATTGTGGAAAACTTAGTGCATGTCGTTGTCTCGTGTTTTCAATAAAAAATTAGTGTACGGCTGTGAGTGTTGTAACACATTAGGCATGTATCACTTTTCCCTTATACATTCCAACCTGTTTTGAAGGTACTACCTAGTTTAGGTATCGTCCTATGTTCACATATTTGCACTTGTGTTGTTCCTAATATCGGCAATACAATCTGACTTATTGCTGCCCATTTCCAGGTACCATCATGAGCAGATGAGCAGCACTGACGAGTCGTCGTACATCGACACTTCTAGTGATGGACCGAGCAATGTGACCGTGGCAAAGGCAGCATTCGTCCTGCTGAAAGGGCTTATGTCACAGCAAATGCCTGAGGTAAATCCTCCTTGTCCCATTCCTAAGCTATCGGGAGCCTAGTGGATGCAGCTTACGCTTGCCGACCATACCAGATGTTTAGAGAATTTGTGCATGTCGCGTGATGACTTCATGCATTTGCATGAAACCCTGCTGCCGTTTGGCCTGCCAGTAACAGATAAGTGCACCTCGGTAGAAGCTCTAGGCATGTACATTTGGACATGTGCCCACCAATCGGCTAGTAGAGAGTGCAAGAATAGGTTTGAAAGGTCTTTAGATACAGTTAGCCAGAAGATTACACTAGTTGCAGAGGTAATGTACCAGTGGGCAAATACAGTCCTAGTGCTAGCAGATAAGAACTACGCACGTGTAAGCCACAAACTTGATGCACATTCACCATGGTTTGATGGATGCATAGGTGCTATAGATGGCACGCACATAAAGGTTGAGGTTAACCATCAAGCAAAGGCTGATTTCTACAATAGGAAAGGCGAAACAACAATTAATGTTTGTGCCATCGTGGATATGGATGGCCGTTTCACATACGTGGGGGCCGGGAAGGCGGGGGCATGTCATGACATGGCGGTGTTGAAAGACTGTCAGGACGATGCTTCGTTCCCACATCCCCCACCAGGTTCGTGATGCCTTGTTGTTCACATACCCTATTTGTTTGCTTGTAGTAGATGCATTGAAGCATACTTGTGTTCAATTTGCTAAGACAGCTGATTTCTCACTGTTTTCATCGCTTGTAGGCCGGTACTACCTGGCGGACGCGGGTTACAAGGAGATGGAAGGCTACATGACCCCCTACAAAAACACAAGGTATCACATCAACGACTTTAGAGGCATAGATATGCAGCAATTGCAGAGGGAGGAGAAATTCAACTACATTCATGCTAAGTTGCGGAATGTAATTGAAAGGAGGTTTGGGGTGTTGAAAGAACGCTGGTAGATTCTGGACGGGGTGTCGTACTGCTGTAGGATGAAGCAGGCTATGATAATCATTTCATACTTTGCTTTAGATAATTTTTTGTGGATGCGTAAGTACGGCGCACATCCACCCTTGTACGAGGTACCGCAGTGGGTTTACCTAAACCTGGGAACCCCTATATCTGGACTTAGGGAGCTGATATCCACGGCGGTGTGGACCAATGTCTGATGTAGGTCAAGGTAGTTGTTTTATGAACCAGTAGCTGTAGGTACAATTCCATGGCAGTCTTGTCGTGTGCATGTGTAAGGTTGTGTGGGACTATGTTCGTTTCAAAAAAAGGTGCATGTGACTATCTAATTGTGTTCATTGATGTATGACGAATTATACTAACAGAACTACAAGTGCCAAGTTCTGTACTATTTGGTGATGTGATGTAATACTCTGGTTAATTTGTGTAATGACAATGGACTTGTTGGTACACTGTTTATGTAATTCACCTTGGGATGCAGTGGGCAGATACAACTTAGGCTTGACTTTCTTCAAGGATTTTGTTCCTCAGAGGTATGATTTCATCATATTTGTTCCTTTGTTTGGTCATATGGATGATTGAAGCAGAGATAATATGAGTTTGCAACTGCGCAGGCTGCAGGTAAAGAATAAGAGAAGCTTCTAGTTAACGGAAGAAGACGTGCTTCGTGCTTGTCAAGCTATGCTTCCGGTTGCAAAGGTTATGATATCCACGGCACACATGTATTTGATTCAGTCTTTCATGTGCTAGTTTCAGCTTCCTTTAAAGCATTTCCATTCAACCTTTGCTGTCCTAATTTAATGTATCCATGCCAGACTTATTTTTGTCATGTTGTCCTAGATTATGTACAAGAGTAGGTGCGACAACAGGTTTAATGAAGTCTCAGAAAGTATGTCTGCT